TGGTTGAAGTGAGGAAAAATCATGTAAAGTGGCTTTCCCAAAGACACAACGTCGGACCTGCGGCTCGAACCCATGAACCCGCAACGAATACGAATAAGAGAGACAGCACCTCCGAGTTATAAGTTCATTTCAGTTAGGACCAAGGAAAATGGGCGCAGAGCTTTAAAAAAACCCAACCCAACTAGAATCTATAGAAAACAAACAAATTTCAGTACGTCACGTTTGACATTCGAACCAGGGCCATTCGTTCAGCATCCATCATGATACCAACTGAGGTAACCTCGTAGCGTCTACGTTAAGCAATGCTTTTTATTTTTATTTGTAATGTCTCTAGCTATCCTCACAGCTTCGTTGTTGTTGTTGTTGGTTTGTTGTTTTTCCTGTTGTTGCATTGTTAGACGTGTGCATTAAAGAACTTATTATTCCTCTTTAATATAGCTGTGATGTAGGTTACTGTATTATTCCCATTTCTTACCTTTCAAGGAAAAATCTTGGCACAGATCGTGGCGCACTTCTCTCTCCGTCGAGTACCCTGGAGAATAATATGAAAAAGAAGAAGTAAAACCAGACTACCAGTTTTTTAAAATCTCTCTCTCTCTCTCTCTCTCTCTCTCTCTCTCTCTCTCTCTCTCTCTCTCTCTCTCTCTCTCTCTCTCTCTTTCCCTTTCTCCCTTTCTCCTCTTTGTAAGTGCGTAATGTGTGTGTATGTGTGCATGTGGCTCGCTCTCGCTTGTATGTGTGTGTGTGTATGTGTGTGTGTGTGTGTGTGTGTGTGTGTGTGTGTTTGTGCGTTTGCGTTTTAGATTCATACATTTATATTTTCTTGTTTGTATTATTGCCTTCTTGCTGCAAACAAAGTATCCAAGTATTGCATTTGACTCACATTGGTAGCATATCTCAAAGCCGTTAGACGTCCCTCTGTGAGTGTCTTTGACTGTGAAATTAACCGTGAGCTCACGAGTGGTGAAGTTGTAAGGTCTTCCTTTAGCAACGTCTTTCTCTGAAAGTAAACGAAGAAATAGTTAGCATCCAGCTTACGATTCCTCACAAATTGAAATGTCTTAGAATGTGTTTTGGAAATCATTGCGTATGGTTGGAGAGCGCGACTGTTAGGTCCCACTTCTTTACTTTCCCTCTGTGGTTTTTGTCTACCTGTCTTGCTTTTTCCTAGCCCTTAATGATAACTATTGCGTCGATGTGCTTCTCGTTACTCAAAAAAAAATAAATAAATAAAAGGAATTCGTTTTGAAATGCGCCCACACCCCAATCCCCCAAAGAAGAACATAAAATGGAAGGTGTTTGACTTGAAAGTAGAATCTCCTGGCTATACCAATGTATTAATTACAAGCCCGATAACGGTGGGCTCGTTCGAGTAACGATGTGCGTACGTTTCATCATTGATACAAGTACTTTAACTAAAGCTGTGTCTCATGGATCACACACACACACACACACACACACACACACACACACACACACACACACACACACATACACACACACACACACACACACACAGACACACAAACACACATATACACACAAATACCCCCCCCTTTCCCCCAAAAAATGTCCATTCCTTCTCATCGTACTCTGTGGATGCAATTTTAAAAAACCCCATGAAATTTAAATAGTGGAGAAAAGAAACCAAAAATCGAAACAAGGCAACAAGGCCAGAAGAAAAGGATTATACAAAGTACCCTATATGGTCGCTTTTAAGTACAAGGGGGCTATCTTGAACAATGCGGTTTTGAGAAAATCAAAGGTATAGTTTTTGGACACTTATTCAGCATCTTTAAAAGACAAGGAGAGTTTTCTCTACAACCAATCAAACATACACACGAATGAAACCAAAATTATTTTATAGGTAGGACAATGCCCACTTTTAGTGTAGGTCAAGATTTCTGGAAACCCCCGAAATCTGGGTTGGCGTGCTTGTCCTTAAAAGCGACCAAAAATATTTCAACCATTCCAACTCACGCTGTTGGCCGTCATCTGTGATAAAACTCAACGTGTCGCCTTTGAATAACGACAGCTGCTTGATCCAGACTCTAATCTTCGTCTTGATTCCTACAGCCACCAACTTTCTGTAGGTGGACACCCAAGACGCCGGTGGCGTGCCCAAACCGTGTATGTCACACCTGCCTAAAAGCCTCCGTGGTAGCTGGTAATTCCATGGGAACTGCGGGTGACTGCGGATAATTCCTCTCTCGTGATTGGACGTTATAGGCTTCACGACGTGGAACACTGGCAGATCTGACGACCCGAAAAAACAAGGAAATAATAGTAATTGTAGTAACAATTATGACACTGGTAAAAAGAATAAAAGGTATGATAGTATTGTTGATGATAGCTGCAAAAACAATAACAATAATAACAATTAAGATAACATCGATTATAATAGTAATAACAATAACAACAACACATTAAAAAAAAAGTATTATTATTATTATTATTATTGTTATTATTATTATTTTATTTGTATTATGCTATGACGAGGATAATGATAATAATGGTGAAGTGAAAGAAGATAATGATGACGATAAGAATAAAATAAGTAGCAAGACAGATAAATGAAAAAATTAGGGTCGACGGAAAACTTTCCATCCACTCGAGATTGAAACCTATTTATTATGTTTGAAATGGTAACATTAAGTTGCAAATCGAGAGCCCAACCCAAACAAGCTGTTCTCTGTTAATCATTTGCTATCGGAATAGATCCTTTGTAAGTCAAAAAAAATTATACAAACAAAAGTGTTTTCTTTGTGAACTTTTTCTTTTGTTGCGTGATCCCTGAAGTACGTAACAAACCTTTAATTTTGCTTTTCCTGCACTGCTTGAGAGTGTCTTCAAAAATCTTCAGAGCGTCACGTTGGTCGAAAGTAAACCCTGTAATTGGAAAATAGTTTGTTATTGCGAATACATTTCGCATAAAATTGTGTTTACCTTAAATTTAAAGTTATAAAGGAGACCGCAATAAGGTGCAAAATAGAAAACAGAATAGATATAAGACGAAAGCAGAATCACACTGTTCTTTTGAGCAAACCAGTATGTCTAAAATAATTTTTTTAAATCAATCTTTTAGAAGGACTAAGCACTGATTTTTAAAAAAAGAAAGTCAAAGATTCGAAACATTTTATTCGCAAAGAAAATGAATAGATTGTAATATCTGTCATTTGCATGGCCACATTCTTGCCATCCTAGTATGGTGTGTCCTTTACAGAGCAGCAAGATGATAATAGTATAATAAACAGCATATTTTGTATAGCGCAGTACCCGCTCAATAGCAAGCTTTAGGCTGCTTTCTTTACAATCTATAGTATTACACAAGCAGACCTGGCAGCATTCTGAAATATTTTCAAGATCCTTGGAAGCATACAGCGCAAACTGCCATTTTACAGGCGTAAGAACACTAACACACTGACAAGATATTTTGCTGTCAATGGTCGGGTTTTCATTCACACTTGGGTGAAGTGAAGTACACTCGTGGGGAATGCCTTTCCAATGGAGACAACGACAATACGGGTTCAGTCGAAACTTCGACCTCACGACCGTGCAATTACGAGTCCGGTCGCCTCACCACTCGACAAAATATCCATGCTTTAATTGGGTACCTCGAAATGCAGAAGTCCTTGTCTTTGATTTAAAACTAAATCAATTTGCTTGACAGGGGAAAAACCCTTTCTGAAAAATGATATTATGTAGTCCCTATGTTGGAGGATAATGTCCCTTTGACAAACGGCGAAACCATACACCTGCAGGTTTTGCTATAGGGCCTAGTTAAAGGCTCAACCTTGCTGTTAACAATCGGACATAATAAACGAAGAAAAGAATGGTGAGTTATATACAGCTAAAGATACATAAAAAAAAGTAAAAAGAATCAAAGAAAGTCATTATCAAAACGTTGAAATACTGTTAAAAGAAATCCACACTCAGATTATAGAGTCGGGAAGAAAAAATAAGATAAACTCATCATGTGCTATTCAAACAAAAACATTTGTTTGATCTATATTTCAATCTTTCTCTCGTCTCACAGAAGTGCACTATCTTATGCACTTGAAGACGGAAAATCCGAGAACTCAAGAGCATGCTCAAAGCGAGTATCTCACAAGTAGACTTGCTTTGTGGTTGGGGTAAATACGTTGCAATGGGGTTTTACTTTACTATAACCGTGTAACAGTTTCCTGAACTTTTTTTTTCAGCCTGAGAAAAGACACAAAGTTTAATCCACATTTATTTTAGTAAAAGGCCTAATTTTCTGTGTGGTATCATGATGAACTCATGTATTCGTCAAAATAAGGAAATCTAAGAAACCTACATTAATTTTTTCTGTCCATCAAGCAGTTTTTAACACTTTATATCTTCATTAATAATTTTTGTTTTGTTTTGCTTAACACCTTTTTCGTCCATTTAAAAGCATATTTTTGTGTGACTTTTACTGAGAAAAAAAAACTGTTGATAATTTGCGCTAAAAATGTTAATAATTCGTAGTTTTCAAGATCCAAACTTTGGAAGTGACCAAACCTTGTGGACGATTCCCTCGAAAACTTTCACGCTGACACCAAGCAACCCCGACCCGACCTCCTTCCGTCGAAATATCTCGACTTCTATTCAAAACAGATAGGCATTTTGGTATATTGTACAAATGCCCCAAAATCTTTATTCCACCATGTCGTGACGCATTCATCATAGAGCATACTGGCTCCAGATTTTCATTGAGAAAACCCACATAATAACCTCCTCTCTGATTCTAGAAAAAGAAAGTCTTAAAAAGCCAGTTGATTCCTGAATCTTGTCCGTTTGAAAGTGTGTGAGCGCTCAATTGGCTACTTGCTATGAGCAATGTAATGCTTCCCTGGAAGCTGAAAATGTTACTATGTCATTGTGTTCTGGGATCTCTGGGGTAATCATACATGTAGTGGCAAAACGCATAGTTGTACATGGTGTAACTTATGGATATGTGCTACATAATATTAAATGCAATAATATAAATAATAATA